CTGCACAAGATGAACGGGTCTGTGCTATCCACTGCCTAATGACAGCAGCTGGTGGGTTCGAGCCAGGACCCATAGAACAGCTCGAGGGGTGAGGGTTTAGGGTTTGGGGGCTTGGGAGGGGGGGAGGGGGGGGGTGCTGCCCTTTCTGGTGCTCCACCTCAGTAGGCATAGTACGAAACAACAGTGTCATCCATGGCAGCTCACACGGGCCTTGTTTCGAAACAAGGGTCGATTACAAACAAGCTAGCCCCACCAAGAAAACCTTTGAAGTTGTATTTTTTGGTCTTCACATTATAGTACTCTATAGTACTATAATAGGAATATAAGAAGGCCCTAAGATAATCATCATTATCCTTTATTGTCGCTATTACTGGGTGGGGGCCCATCTGACTTAGAAAGGTCGATGCCGCAAAACACAGGCCCCATGGCACGCACTGGTAGTAGTAGTAATAATAATGACAATAAACGCAGCAATAATAACAATGACAATAATAATAACAGTACTATAAGAGTAGTGATGATAATAGGAGACTACTAAATATCACTGCTTGGAGAGAACTTGGGACATGTGTATGCGAACGCCTGTCTAGGTACAACTTCGAGTTCAGCTGCAGAAGAACTTTGCCAGCGAGTGGACACTCCGAGGAAATCTAGCGCCATGAAGCCCCAAAGTAGTACAAATACTACGGGAGTGGAGGGTATAGAAACAACAACAGAAATAACAACAATAGTTGTGATAATGATACCGTAAACCCTAAGCCCTTACACGCTAATAAGTAGGAATACTGTAGGAGAAGGTGCAAGACCTCCATCCACGGTAGAAATCACCATGTGTGGGATCCTAAGTGGTGCAAGATTTCCTGATTCACACGTCACTGCCCGCAAGCTTGCGACAAGCTTGCGTGACCGCCTCCTCATGTCACGGAGATTCCACCCGTTACTGCGATGGTGTTAGGGTTTGGGGTTTGGGAAATTTAGTTCGTCTCGAGCGTCGGGTTTCGCGATTAAATCATCTCCCTAAGTTCCCGTGACCCCTCACAGAAAATAAGAATTACAGCTGGTTCTTAGGATAATAAATGACAAACAGTAAAAACCATTTTCAGGCAGCTTCCAGAAACTATTGTGCGTAGAAAGTAAGTCATGTGGTCTCCTTAGTTGCGTAGATTCAGCTTCTGAACTACAACCCAGCCAGTCAGGCCTTGCCGAAGGTATTTTTGGCAAGTGTTTCTCCCTAAACGCTAAACCCGGCATCCGTAACCCAAAAACCCTAAACTGTTAATCCCCAAGCCCCTAATCCCTAAACCTCCCGAACCTGAAACCCCTTCACGTGGGGGTTCCGGATGGATCATGGCAATGTTGCCTACGGATGGCGTAGGAGTGTCCTCCAAAATTACGAGTGCCTTCGGTTTAGGGTTTTTAGGGGTTAGGGTTTAGGGGGATCCCTATATGAGCCATAGTCTAAACTCCCTTAGTATCCCCCTTAGTAATCCCTATCTTGCTTCCCTAAATAATCCCCTTTGAGGAGTTTTGACTATAGTTCATATTAAGGACTATAGTATTTGGAGGTCTATGTCGGCGCTCCGCACGGCTTTTGGCAAACAGTTCAGGGTTCGGTTTTTTCCCCACGGACTTTTTAGCCTGCATGAATGCATGGGGCGTCCGGCCGGATGTTTAGGATTTAGGGATTCAGGGTTTGGCGTTTAGGGTCGGGGTTCATTAATTGGCAGAAGCTATTCACCTAGGATTGCATATGCATACATGGTCTAGGGTTTCTTGCTCAATGTCTCTTTGCGAGTTTTGCATGTACTGCTTTGGAAATCGCTACAAAGCATCCGGTCGGGGCACGACGCTCAGCTGAACCCTAAACCCTGAACCCTAGACCCCGAACCCTGGTTCGCGCCTCGAAGATTGAGCAACTTGTACATGGACTTGCCAGACCTACGACCCGAGATTCGAAATCCTGCATGACTCTGAGTCCCCCTAGCCCCTGAGCCCTCAAGGGTTTAGGGCTTGGAGTTTCCCTAAACCCGTTACGGTTACGGGTTTAGGGTATAAGGTTTAGGGTTTGGAGTTCAGAATTTAGGTCCCCTGAACCCCAAAGGTACCTTATACTTTGGGAAATCTGGCGTTCTAGTACGTTGAGGTCACGCAGGCCTTTTAGCATCAACAGTAGCTTCAGAGATAGCATTTGAGTTTCTTTCTTTTCCCCTGCGGCTCAGCAACTTGAGGGGGGTAAGGGAAGTGTAGGTGAGGGGGGGAAGGAGCATGGGGCGGGGGGGGGGTGTAGCAGGGAAAGCCATGACTGCTGGTTTGGGATGTACCGGGGTGCGAAAGGAACTCCAGGTGCATGGTCTGCAGTTCTGCAGCTCTGAAACTAGAACCGCGGGGCTACTAAGGAAAGATCTTCATTTTGAGGGAACCCTACAGACCCAACACCCTACAGCCTTAACCCGAATACCTAAACCCGGAATCCCTAAACCCCGAAACCCCGCACCCCGGTTTTGGACGGGTTCATTACCAGTGCAAGGGGACTGCAAGTGTCTGAGGATGTCTGAGGGCTGCCACTGCAACAGCACTCCTTGCATGTAAAACCATCGTTGCTCTTCACTCCTATGTAAATCATGTTGCTATGAAGAAGGATGTTGCGCTCGCGCAGCTGACATTTTGTTATCTGCTGCTCCTACTGCGGCTGATACTCACGAACCTTCGTACCTTACGTTTGGGGAATTGTGGAATCATGCATACTAAGGTCGTATCAGCCGTATGGCTTTATCGTCCACTATGCTACCTCTCCCAGGGGCAATGTTAGTGGGCGAAACGGGAGTAGTGTCCCTGAACTTTAAACCCTACCCCAATACCCTAAACCCTAGAACCCTAAAACTCTAAACCCTAATCCCAAGAAGAACCCATGATTCCATGATGTACCGGTTTCTAACGCCGGGGCCGGCACACCACCACCTCGGAGGTGAAGCGCTCACGGAAGGCCTTGTCCTCAAAAGATGCAAGCGAGCACCAGGTTATAGTAGCTAGTCGTATTTTAGGGTGTACCCTAAGGCTCCTAAGACTACTTGGGGCTTTCTGGGGCAGGGTTTGGGCTTTGGGGGCTAGGTACATACAATTATGCATACAGATTAACATGTGTATCACCCTCTATAGTACCGCATATGGGTTGTTCTCAAAACTATGGACCCATGTGGCCCCCTTTTGGCTAGAGTATATATTACGGCACCGAATTTCTAGGAGTACCCAACGGGACCATAATTTTAGGAACTACCCATATCATAAACATCATGATTACGGAGCGAAATCAGAGGAAGAAAGTGAGGATGGTCTGGTTGCCTGTACATCTGGACCGCTTTGCGCGTGCAGGCAGCACAGGACCAACGATAAGAACGGTTTGGAACAAAATGCCTGCACCAAGCCCACTCAAAGCAACTGTTGTTCTACACCCTACGCTTAGATCCCGAAACAATGCAAGAATATTGCGTCTTCTTCACGCGGTTTCCTTGCGCGCACTTAAGATGTAGGCAGGCACCACGAAAGGATCTGCGTAGGAGCCTGTACCTGAACCTTACACCCTTTAACTGTGTACCAAGCACTTACTCTAGACCTACACGGTAATGCTGGCCGTCGGGCCCAGTAAGGCAAGGCCCCGACTGTGGACACCACTTCCAGGGACGGTAGCTCCACGGCACAGGCGAAACGATGCTGCCTCAACCATCCCACACGGTTGAGACTTTTGGGTCACGAGCTCATGCACGCATCGGGTTTGGGATCCAGGTACCTGCCGGGTGTCGGGTGTGGGGTGTATACGCCCTTCCAGGTACGTCTGGACATCGCTGTGTCTAAGACGCACCGTGGCAACCCCCAAAGAATAAACTCTTCTCCACATAGCACCATTACATGAGCTATAGTCTAAACTCCTTAAAGGGGACTTATATAGGGGGTTATATAGGGGAGGGTTGTAATTGGGGGTTATTCAGGGGGATGACAGGAGTTTAGAGCTATAGCTCACATAAGAAGTGGGAACCTTTTCTTCCTGAACCCTAAACCGCTTAATGGTACAATTGTTACCGCTCTGACATCGATCGCACCAACGTTCAGAACAGATGGAGCGTCTGTCACGAAAGGCTAGTAGTTTAGGGTTTAGGGTTTCCATTTCTTCCATTATCCCAATATAACCCTAATATTACCCCAATAGATTCTGATAGTGGCCCCTTGTCTACCAATTCATTGCAATCATGTTGGCCTGACGATGTAGTCAAAATGTTGGTGCTTTTTTTGGCTTTCTGTTGTTCTGGGCCCCCAGATATACGGGGAACCCAAGAAAAACTATGATTTTGCCAACCCTCCACGTAATCATTCCTGCGCTGCTAGTTGAGCGACGTCACACAAGTCGCTGCTGGCATTAATGCCGCACATTCTTTTCACCACAGAGTCCTGCTTGTATGGAACAGCGTTCAAGACTGTTTGGGAATGGCACCCCAGCCAGTATTCACGGAATTGAAGCAGGCAACCCTGTTACTTATATATCCATCACCGTTACAAGCACTTCTGAGCAAGACATCCGCGCAAAACAATTTTGCGCTTGTTGCTTCTAAAAACGCTGGTCTGGTCTCCATTGGAGAAATGACTGGGTTGACCTTTAGAACTGCATTTGGGTACTAGACCAAACCATGTATAGGATATCCCAAAGGCCAACCAAGATGAAGTGCAGCAGCAAACGGCAGGAGAGAGCGCTGAGCCGCCACTTGCGGGTCGCTGCTGCGCGAGGTTGGTAGTGGCACAACGCTGCCAATTGCGGCATAAAAGTGATGTTGTGGTGTGGTGTGAAGTGCTGTCGATGCCTATCTGCCACTATCGCGGCACTCTACTCGAGCTGCGCATCCAAAATCTTACAAGGCACCACGTGCCAACGCTGTATGTAACAGCTAGTTTAAAGTCTGCGGACTCTTCGAGTCCGCACAACACGTGCTGCAAACACCGCGGTCTCCTCCAAGTCACTTCATGCCATCGTAGAGAACTCGCACACCGTTGTCCTGCCGCATCTTGCAAGTTAGGGTTTTCCGGTTTAGGGCTTATAAGGAGAAAGGGGGAGAGATTGCGACTTTCAAGTAGGAATCAGGCTGTGCCAAAAACGAGCATAGCATTGCAGCGGCACCATTGCAAAGCAAAAACGATAACAATAACAGCGATATACAGCGATACTTGCCTTAAGAGAGAGTGGGACAATGAAATTCAGAACTATTATGATCTCGATGTCATTTGCATGCACTCTCCCGTTCTCCCTTTAACGCCAGCACGTTGCTTGCAGGCGCCAGTGAGTGTATCAGGTGGTGACCCCAACAATCCGTTAGAGTCCGAAAGTGTATCGCGTGCGTTCCTACTTGGAGAGTCATGGGCACTTAGCAAGTATACACATAAGCCCTATAATATACAACCCATATAGTAACCCCAGGTATCCACTTTGTGAACCTACTGAGTAAGCCCCCCATAAACCCCTAAGCCCCAACCCACTCCCTACATGTGCCACGGGCTCCTGACAGCCCTAAACCCTAAACCCTTAACCTCTAACCCTACATGTTCAACGTATGTATCCCCACAGTCCCTAAGGGCCCCACGCTGTATCATCCCAATTTCCAATTAATTTTCCATTTGAGTGTCCGTTCTCTGTGAACATATATACATATATATGTGTTTGTATATGTATATGTGTATATACTGTGTGTGTCTCTCTCTCTGGAGTGATAATTTCCGTATATACATATTTATATAGATATAGTATAAGCCCTGAGTAATCCGTACATAACCGCTGTATAACTCCTTTACAACACCTGCATAACCCCCTTTCTAATCCCAATGTAGCCCTATGTACTCCCTATATGACCTATAGTCTAAACTCCTAGTGTCACCCTTAATAACCCTTAAAATACTACCCTAAATAACCCCCTTTAAAGAGTTTGGACCCTAAACCCTAATATGGTTCATGTAGTCCCTCATGTAAGCCGGTCTTTACACATGTACGTATATATAGTATATACATATATATATATGTATACATACACACACATGCATGCATACAAGAATGCATACATACATGCATACAAGAATGCATACATACATACATACATACATACATACATAGATGCAGAGACATGCAAATGCATTCCCTATATAACCTTTCTTTGAGAACCTCCAACCTGGTACTGCGCCCCAGGCATCTGAATGACATTTCCATCATCGTCGATGTACTCCGACTTCTCCTTGAAATTGCGGGGCTTTGGGGTTTAGGAGTTGAGGGTTTAGGGCTTAGTGTTTAGGAGTTTAGCGTTGGCGGTTAGGTTTGATAGTGTAAATTCTGCATGCCCATCATGATACAAAACCTCCCATAATTTGCAAGGTTTAGGGTACTTCAGGTCATGCAGAATGCTCGGCACCGACAGTATCGCAACCTTCCTTCGCAACTTCCTTCCAACCAGCTTCCTTTGCAAGGACGGAAGTGGATCTTTCGCGAAAATGCGGTCGCTCATTTATTCTTTGAAATGCAAGAATGCCTACGGTACTGCTTCCCGGACACGGAACCTCCACTTGTTGAACACGCACCGAGCCCAAAACACAAAACCTCCCAACCCCAAACCCTACACTCCAAATCCTGAACCCCCAACCTTCAAAAACAAACCCCAAACCCTAAACCCCAAAGCCCCAAATCCCAAAACCCCTACATCCCAAAACCCCTAAATCCCAAGCCCAAAGCCTCAAACTATAACCCTAACCCCTAAACCCTAAACGCTAAATAGTAGTTTCCATTTTCTTTTCCATTATCCCAATATTACCCCAATATATAGCCTAAAATTCCTATAGAACCTATGTATAATCCCTATGGTTTCCATTTTCTTTTCCATTATCCCAATATAACCCCAATATAGCCCCTTACTTAAGGGGGACCTTAACCCGAATGACAAGCAGCTCCCAGGATGAAGCGTCCGAAGAACTTGGTCAAGATCCTGGGTTGCTGTTGGAACTTAAACTAAGTTACCATAATTGGTATATAGGGTTTAGGGTTTAGGGATTTAAGTTACCATAATAGGTATATAGGGTTCAGGGTTTAGGGTTTAGGGAATTAAGTTACCATAATGGGTATATAGGGTTTAGGGTTTAGGGATTTAAGTTAACATAATGGGTATATAGGGTTTAGGGTTTAGGGAATTAAGTTACCATAATGGGTATATAGGGTTTAGGGTTTAGGGTTTGGGGAATTAAGTTACCATAATGAGTATATAGGGTTTAGGGTTT